CAGATCCTACACACAATCCCCCATCACTGATATCAGATCCTACACACAATCCCCCGTCACCGATATCAGATCCTACACACAATCCCCCGTCACTGATATCAATCCTACACACAATCCCCCGTCACCGATATCAGATCCTACACACAATCCCCCATCACCGATATCAGATCCTACACACAATCCCCCATCACCGATATCAGATCCTACACACAATCCCCCATCACGATATCAGATCCTACACACAATCCCCCATCACTGATATCAGATCCTACACACAATCCCCCCGTCACTGATATCAGATCCTACACACAATCCCCCATCACCGATATCAGATCCTACACACAATCCCCCATCACCGATATCAGATCCTACACACAATCCCCCATCACTGATATCAGATCCTACACACAATCCCCCATCACTGATATCAGATCCTACACACAATCCCCCATCACTGATATCAGATCCTACACACAATCCCCCGTCACTGATATCAGATCCTACACACAATCCCCCATCACGATATCAGATCCTACACACACAATCCCCCATCACCGATATCAGATCCTACACACAATCCCCCATCACTGATATCAGATCCTACACACAATCCCCCATCACTGATATCAGATCCTACACACAATCCCCCATCACTGATATCAGATCCTACACACAATCCCCCATCACTGATATCAGATCCTACACACAATCCCCCATCACGATATCAGATCCTACACACAATCCCCCATCACTGATATCAGATCCTACACACAATCCCCCATCACTGATATCAGATCCTACACACAATCCCCCATCACTGATATCAGATCCTACACACAATCCCCCATCACCGATATCCCAATTTTTAAAATCCGATACAAAAAGTTCGGAGTTCCTCCTAAAAGCGCCACAAACAACTATACAACAGGTTCCGGCCTTCAGAGGGGCCCCGTTCCTGGGGGGGGGGGGGGCGTTATGACGTCACCTCTGGTCTTCATCATGAGAAGATCGCCTCCTTCTTTTGTACCTTTTCCTGCCTGACAATTATGTATTATTATATATTCAAGCAACAAAATCCAACATTTTTTCTTGCTTAAATTAACTTTGAGCCCCCCAAACATGAAATACTTTCTGAAAGCAGAAGCCCTGGAGAATAAAATGGCGGCTGTCGCAATTTTTCACGCGATATTTGCACCGGCGGCTTACCAAATGCAAACTTTCAGGTAAAGAGATATATACTTTCTTGGTGTACACAGACACAATATAATTCCCCGATGTTTTGTCACGACGAGTAAATAGATACCAAACGCATCACCTACGCGAAACCGCCCGCCCGTGGAATGATGACAAAAATACGGCACCATAAAAACCCCTTGACGCAAATATGTGCTGTCTGGGCCTTGATGACGAGCGGATTCCGCATATTTGTGCGCCATGAGAAAATACGTATCCCGCGACTATCCTGCAAACGTCACCGATCTCCCCTTTCGATCGGGACCTTTTTCCCCCCCCTTCACCAGTCCGGACACTTTCCCCCCCCCCAGTCATTCCGGACGCTTTCCCCCCCTCCAGTCAGTTTTGGACGCTTTTCACACCCCTTCCAGTCCGGACACTTTCCCCCCTTCCAGTCCGGACGCTTACCATTCCCCCCCTTCCAGTCCGGACACTTTCCCCCCATCCAGTCCGGATCCTTTCACCACCCCCTTCCTGTCGCGGACTGCTTCCCCCCCCTTCCAGTCCGGACGCTTTCTTCACACCCCTTCCAGTCCAAAACGCTTTCCCCCCCTTCCAGTCCGGACGCTTTCACCCCCTTCCAGTCGATTTGACGCTTTCACCCCCTTCCAGTCCGGACGCTTTTCCCCCCTTCCAGTCCGGACGCTTCCCCCCCTTCCAGTTCCCCTTTTCCCCCCCTTCAAAAAGATCCGGACGCTTTCACCCTACAAACCCCCACTTCCAGTCCGGACGCTTTCCACCCCTTCTCCATCGGACGCTTTCCCCCTTCCCCTTCATCCGGACGCTTTCCCCCTTCTTTTGTCCGGACGCTTTACCCCCCCCTTCCAGTCCGGACTGCTTTTACCCCCTTCAAAGTCCGGACGCTTTTCACCCCCTTCCCAGTCCGGACGCTTTCACCCCCTTCCAGTCCGGACATACTTTCACCCCCTTCCAGTCCGGACGCTTTCCCCCCCTTCCAGTCCGGACGCTTTCACACCCCTTCCAGTCCGGACGGCTTTCAGAACCCCCCCTTCCAGGTTCCCGGACGCTTATCCCCCCGTTCCAGTCCGGGGACGCTTCCCCCCGTTCCAGTCCGGACGCTTTCCCCCCCTATCCAGTCCGACGCTTTCCCCCCCTTCCAGTCCGGACGCTTTCCCCCCCTTCCAGTCCGGACTCTTTCCCCCCCTTCCAGTCTAACGGACACTTTCACCCCCTTCCAGTCCGGAACGCTTTTCACCCCCTTCCAGTCCGGGACACTTTCACCCCCCTTCCAGCTCAACGCTTTCCCCCCCCCTTCCAGTCCGGACGCTTTCCTACCCCCCTATCCAGTCCGGACGCTTTACCTTCCTTCCCATCCGGACGGCTTTCACACCCCTTCCAGTCCGGACGCTTTCACCCCCTTCCAGTCCGGAAACGCTGTCACCCCCTTCCTGTCCGGACGCTTTCCCCCCCTTCCATCCGGACGCTTTCACCCCCTTCCAGTCCGGACGCTTTCAACCCCCTTCCAGTCCGGACGCTATTCCCCCCTTCCAGTCCGGACGCTTTCACCCCCCCTTCCAGTCCCGACGCTTTCCCCCCCTTCCAGTCCGGACGCTTTCCCCCCCTTACCAGTCCGACGCTTTCCCCCAGTCGGACCTATCCAGTCCGGATCCTTTCCCCCCCGTCAGTCCGGACAGCTTTCCCCCCCTTCCAGTCCGGACGCTTTCACCCCCTTCCAGTCCGGACGCTGTTCCACTTTCCCCCCCTTCCAGTCCGGACGCTTTCACCCCCTTCCAGTCCGGACGCTTTCCCCCCCTTCCAGTCCGGAACGCTTTCACCCCCTTCCAGTCCGGACGCTTTCCCCCCCCCCCCTTCCAGTCCGGACGCTTTCAATACCCCTTCCAGTCCGGACGCTTTCACCCCCTTCCAGTCCGGACGCTTTCACACCCCCCTTCCAGTCCGGACCTTTCAACCCCCTTCCAGTCCGGACGCTTTCCCCCCCTTCCAGTCCGGGACGCTTTTTTCACACCCCCTTCCAGTCCGAACCTTTCACACCCCCTTCCAGTCCGGACGCTTTCCCCCCGTTCCAGTCCCGGACGCTTTCCCTCCCCCCTTCCAGTCCGGACGCTTTCCCTTCCAGTCCCGTTCCAGTCCCGGACGCTTCCCCCCCCCCGTTTCCAGTCCGGACAGCTTTCCCCCCCTTCCACCGGACTCTTCCCCCCCTTCCAGTCCGGACACTTTCAACCCCCTTACAGTCCGGACGCTTTCCACCCCCACAGTCCGGACACTTTCACCCCCCTTCCCCGGACGCTTTCCCCCCCCCCCCCTTCCAGTCCGGACGCTTTTACCCCCTTCCAGTCCGGACGCTTTTACCCCCTTCCAGTCCGGAACGCTTTCAACCCCTTCCAGCTATTCCGGACGCTTTCCACCCCCTTCCAGTCCGGACGCTTTTTCACCCCCTTCCAGTCCGGACACTTTCCCCCCCTTCCAGTCCGGAACGCATTCCATCCCCCCCTTCCCAGTCCGGACACTTTCCCCCCCTTCCCAGTCCGGACAGCTTTCCCCCCTTCCAGTCCGGACGCTTTCCCCCCCTTATCAGTCCGGACGCTTTCACCCCCTTCCAGTCCGGACGCTTTCCCCCCCCCTTCCAGTCCGGACGCTTTCACCCCCTTCCATCCGGACGCTTTCACCCCCTTCCCAGTCCCGGACGCTTTCACCCCCCCCTTCCCAGTCCGGACGCTTTCACCCCCTTCCAGTCCGGACGCTTTCACCCCCTTCCAGTCCGGACGCTTTCCACCCCCTTCCAGTCCGGACGCCCTTCCAGTCCGGACGCTTTCACCCCCTTCCAGTCCGGACGCTTTCACCCCCCTTCCAGTATCTTCCGGACGCTTTCCCCCCCCCCCCCTTCCAGTCCGGACGCTTTTCCCCCCCTTCCAGTCCGGACGCTTTCCACCCCCTTCCAGTCCGACAGCTTTCACCCACCCCCTTCCAGTCCGGACGCTTTCACCCCCTTCCTTCCGGACGCTTTCCCCCTTCCAGTCCGGACGCTTTCACCCCCCTTCCAGTCCGGACGCTTTCACTTCAACCCCCTTCCAGTCCGGACGCTTTCACACCCCCTTCCAGTCCGGACGCTTTCCCCCCTTCCAGTCCGGACGCTTTCCCCCCTGTCCAGTCCCCGGACGCTTTTTCACCCCCTTCCAGTCCGGACGTTTTCACCCCTTCCAGTCCGGACGCTTCCCCCCTTCCAGTCCGGACGCTTTCACCCCCTTCCAGTCCCGGACGCTTTCACCCCCTTCCTGTCCGGTTACGCTTTTCCCCCCTTCCAGTCCGGGACGCTTTCACCCCCTTCCAGTCCGGACGCTTTCACCCCCTTCCAGTCCGGACGATTTCACCCCCTTCCAGTCCGGACGCTTTCCCACCCCCTTCCAGTTCCGGACGCTTTCCCCCCCTCCTCCAGTCCGGACGCTTTCATCCACCCCCTTCCAGTCCGGACGCTTTCCCCCCCTTCCAGTCCGGACGCTTTCCCCCCCCCCCCTTCCAGTCCGGACGCTTTCACCCCCTTCCCCAGTCCGGACGCTTTCACCCCCTTCCAGTCCGGACGCTTTCACCCCCTTCCAGTCCGGACGCTTTCACCCCCTTCCAGTCCGGACGCTTTCCCCCCTTCCAGTCCGGACGCTTTCACCCCCCCTTCCATCCGGACGGCTTTCACCCCCCTTCCAGTCCGACGCTTTCCCCCCCTTCCAGTCCGGACGCTTTCACCCCCTTCCAGTCCGGACGCTTTCCCCCCTTCCAGTCCGGACGCTTTCCCCCCCTTCCAGTCCGGACGCTTTCCCCCCCTTCCAGTCCGGACGCTTTCACCCCCTTCCAGTCCCGGACGCTTTCACCCCCTTCCAGGTCCGGACGCTTTCCCCCCCCCTTCCAGTCCGGACGCTTTCCCCCCCCTTCCAGTCCGGACAACTTTCACCCCCTTCCAGTCCGGACGCTTTCCCCCCCCTTCCAGTCCGGACGCTTCACCCCCCTTCCAGTCCGGACGCTTTACCCCCCCCCTTCCAGTCCGGACGCTTTTACCCCCTGTCCAGTCCGGACGCTCGACCCCCCCCCCCTTCCAGTCCGGACGCTTTCCCCCCTTCCAGTCCGGACGCTTTCCACCCCCTTCCAGTCCCGGACACTTTCACCCCCTTCCAGTCCGGAACGCTTTCCCCCCTTCCTCGTCCGGACGCTTTCCCCCCTTCCAGTCCGGACGCTTTCACCCCCTTCCAGTCCGGACGCTTTCCCCCCCCTTCCAGTCCGGACGCTTTCACCCCCTTCCAGCCCGACGCTTTTCCCCCCCTTCCAGCCCGGACGCTTTTACCCCCCCCCTTCCAGCCCGACGCTTTCCCCCCCCCCCTTCCAGCCCGGACACTTTCACCCCCTTCCAGTCCCCGACGCTTTCCCCCCCCCTTTCCAGCCCGGACCCTTTCCCCCCCTTCCAGTCCGGACGCTTTCCCCCCCTTCCAGTCCGGACGCTTTCCAACACACCCCCTTCCAGTCCGGACACTTTCCCCCCCTTCCAGTCCGGACACTTTCCCCCCCTTCCAGTCCGGACACTTTCCCCCCCTTCCAGTCCAGCCGGAGACTTTCCCCCCCTTCCAGTCCGGACACTTTCCCCCCCTTCCAGTCCGGACGCTTTCCCCCCTTCCAGTCCGGACACTTTCACCCCCTTTCCCCCCAGTCCAGGCCAATTTTCAGCTTTCAGCGCTATCACACTTTGAATGACAATTGCGCTGGTCATGCAACACTGTACCCATATGAATTTTTTAGCATTTTTTTAAAACAGATAAAACTTTACTTTGGTGGTATTTATTCACCGCTGGGATTTTTATTTTTTTTGCTATATAAATGAAAAAGTCCACAAATTAAAAAAAAAAGTTTTTTTCTTACAAAATGTTGCAATAAATAAAATTTCATCATAAATTTTGGCCAAAATTTATTGCGTTATCTTTTCAGTAAAAAAAAATAAAAAAAATAACCCAAATTAGTTTATAACCAAAAATTATAATTTTTTTAACCTTTTTTTATTTACATTTTTATATTATTGGTTTTTTTTTTACATACCATCACCCTAGCAGTGCAGTCACCATGGTGACACTGTACTACTTGTGGGGGGGTGATGATTTTTTTTTTTTTTTTTTTTTACACTGATTGCTTTTACACCCATAAAGGCTGTAAAAGCAATCATTTCTCCTCTCTGGCTGCATTCCTGCAGCCATTGAGAAATAGTGAGAGCGCTGTGATTGGTCACAGCTTGTCACATGGTACAAGGCTGTTGTGACTCATGCTGACAGCAGAGGAAGGAGGCAGTGGACAGAAATGACACTCCGTGCTCTGGGAGACTGAGACGAGTACACACTATAGAGGGATGTGCTTTGTTCATTTTTCATGACTGAGGTTTACAACCGCTTTAACTTACCTCACCTGTTGTGTTGAGTTGTCTTCCATTCGCAAACTCACACCACCCAGTGAATCCAGCGTTCCTATGCTGCAATCCATCGCACCGCCGCCAGCGAATCCAGCGTTCCTGTGCTGCAATCCATCGCATTGCAACCGCCGCCAGCTAATCCAGCTTCCCTGCTGCAATCCATCGCACCACCGCCAGCATCGAATCCAGCGTTCCTGTGCTGCAATCCATCGCACCTACGCCAGCTAATCCAGCGCTGCTGCAATCCATCACACCACCGCCAGCTAATCCAGCGTTCCTGTGCTGCAATCCATCGCACCGCCGCCAGCTAATCCAGCGTTCCTGTGCTGCAATCCATCGCACCGCCGCCAGCTAATCCAGCGTTCCTGTGCTGCAATCCATCGCACCGCCGCCAGCTAATCCAGCGTTTCCTGTGCTGCAATCCATCGCACCGCCGCCAGCTAATCCAGCGTTCCTGTGCTGCAATCCATCGCGCACCCGCCGCCAGCTAATCCACGCCGCCAGCGAATTCCTAGCGCTGTGCAATCCATCGCACCGGCCGCCAGCTAATCCAGCGTTCCTGTGCTGCAATCCATCGCACCTCCACCAGCTAATCCAGCGTTCTGCCTGTGCTGCAATCCATCGCACCGCCGCCAGCTAATCCAGCGTTCCTGTGCTGCAATCCATCGCACCTCCACCAGCGAATCCAGCGTTCTTGTGCTGTCCAATCCATCCGCACCTCGCAGCGAATCCAGCGTTCCTGTGCTGCAATCCATCGCACCTCCGTCAGCGAATCCAGCGTTCCTGTGCTGCAATCCGAATCCAGCATTCCTGTGCTGCAACCTCCACCAGCGAATCCAGCGTTCTTGTGCTGCAATCCATCGCACCTCCGTCAGCGAATCCAGCGTTCCTGTGCTGCAATCCATCGCACCTCCGTCAGCGAATCCAGCGTTCCTGTGCTGCAATCCATCGCACCTCCGTCAGCGAATCCAGCATTCCTGTGCTGCAATCCATCGCACCGCCGTCAGCGAATCCAGCGTTCCTGTGCTGCAATCCATCGCACTGCCGCCATGCACCTGGTCCCGCGCCGCCATCTTCTCCTCTGACATCAGGAGCCGCCCATCTCTTCTGGGTTCTTGCAGCTGGCCCCCAATAAAGTACTCTAGGCCCGCCCACCAACCGCTGCGTGTCCCTGCTCCTGCAGTTTCCTCTGATATACAAGGGGTCTTCAAAAATTTCCCACACTTTTATATATATAATAGATTTAAAAAAAAAAACTTTTTGAAGACCCCCAATGTAATGCCAATGCTTATGGGGGGAGGGGAAGGGTAAAAAAATATAAAAAAAATATATATATATAGCTCATCGGTCAGTAAAACGACGGTCTTTCATCGCCTCTGGCTACAGACAGGGAAAACGAGCGCAAAATCAGCCCTTTAATAACCAGACGGGACGGTCACAGAGCTTCTGCTCATGAATGGGCCCTTTAAAAGAAGAATTCCGCACCATCTAAGCGTGAAATGGCTGCATACCCGTACGGAAGAGAAATAATATTTTCCATATATTTAAAAAAAAAATTATACATGCGACATATATTTACAATACATTGGCCTACGCGAATATATTTTAACATGTATTCCAAAAATGTCATTTAAAATATATTTTCCAAAGGCATATATTTAAAAATATATTTTTCAAAATATATTTTCTAGATATTTTTGAACATCTAAAAAAAATGCATTTAAACATAGATTTTTAAATACTTGTAAATGCATTCCAAATGACACTTTGATATTTATGGCAGCGTGTGTTCTGAATATATTTTTTAATAATATTTTCACAGATATATTGAAATACTTAAAAATATTTTTTCATATATTTTGTAATAAAAATGCTTTCAACATATATATATATATATACACACATACATATTATAATGTTTGGGGGTTCTGGTAATTTTCTAGTAAAATAATAAATAATAATGAAAAAAAATAACAACTGTGTGTGTGTGTGTGTATATACAGTTGCAAGTAAAAAGTATGTGAACCCCTTGGGATTACATTCAACAGGAGTTTTGCATGAATTGGGCATAAAATGTGCTCTGAACGTCATTCTAAGTCACAACAATAGAAGAACACAGTCTGCTGAACATAATACTACACTAAACAAACATTAGATGTTGCCAAGGTTTAATTGCACATAACATGTAAACATTCACAGTGCAGGGAGGAAAAAGTATGTGAGGCCCTAGCTCAGGGGTGGGCAAACTTTTTGACTTGAGGGCCGCAATGGTTCATATATTGGACCCATGGGGCCGGACCAAGATAGATGAATGATGTGTATGTGTCATCCATAGTAAGTATAGTAAATATTCCCCCATAGTAAGCATAGTAATTAATCCCCCATATAGTAATTCATCCCCCATAGTAATTCATCCCCCATATAGTAATTCATCCCCCATATAGTAATTTCATCCCCCATATAGCAATTCGTCCCCCATATAGCAATTCGTCCCCCATATAGCAATTCATCCCCCATATAGTAATTCATCCCCCATATAGTAATTCATCCCCCATAGTAATTCATCCCCCACATAGTAATTCATCCCCCATATAGTAATTCATCCCCCATAGTAATTCATCCCCCACATAGTAATTCATCCCCCACATAGTAATTCATCCCCCATATTAATTCATCCCCCATATAGTAATTCATCCCCCATATAGTAAGTCCCCCATATAGTAATTCATTCCCATATAGTAAGTCCCCCATATAGTAATTCATTCCCCATATAGTAAGTCCCCCATATAGTAATTCATTCCCCATATAGTAAGTCCCCCATATAGTAATTCATTCCCCATAAAGTAAGTCCCCCATATAGTAATTCATTCCCCATATAGTAAGTCCCCCATATAGTAATTCATTCCCCATATAGTAAGTCCCCCATATAGTAATTCATTCCCCATAAAGTAAGTCCCCCATATAGTAATTCATTCCCCATATAGTAAGTCCCCCATATAGTAATTCATTCCCCATATAGTAAGTCCCCCATATAGTAATTCATTCCCCATATAGTAAGTCCCCCATATAGTAAGTCCCCCATATAGTAATTCATTCCCCCATATAGTAAGACCCCCATATAGTAATTCATCCCCCATATAGTAAGTCCCCCCTATAGTAATTCATTCCCCATATAGTAAGTCCCCCCTATAGTAATTCATTCCCCATATAGTAAGTCCTCCATATAGTAATTCATTCCCCATATAGTAAGTCCCCCATATAGTAATTCATTCCCCATATAGTAAGTCCCCCATATAGTAAGTCCCCCCTGTGTCAATTCACTTACCTTTGCTCCTCCGCGCGTTCCTCTCGTATTCCCGCGCCGTTCTGGTCTTCAGGGAGGACTGTGAGAGAAGAGTTCGTCACGCTGCCCCGCCTACATCCTGGCTGCCCCGCCTACATCCTGACAGCTGCAGAGTCCTGACGCCCGAGAGGAGGGAGGGGGCGGCCATCCTAGAGGAGGGGGGGAGGGGAGAGGAGGAGAGGAGGTCCCCGCCCGCACCGCCCGAGAGGAGGGAGGGGAGCGGGCGCCCGGCACACAGGAGAGCCGCATCTATTGTAAAGAGCCGCGGCTTGCCGACCACTGGCCTTGCGGGAGCCTAGCTCCGCGGGCCGGATTAAAAGGTCCGCCGGGCCGTATACGGCCCGCGGGCCGTAGTTTGCCCATTGCTGCCCTAGCTTAATGACTTCTCCCAGAGCTAATTGGAGCCAGGAGTGAGCCAACCTTGACTCCAATCATGTGTGATGATATTGGATGTGTTGCTGACAGCTGTCCTGACCTTAAAAAACACACACCTGTCGTTTTTGGGTTTACTGGTTTCAAGAAGCACTGTCTGATGTGAACCATGCCTCGCAGAAAAGAGCTCTCAGAAGACCTACCATCAAGAATTGTTGACTTGCATGAAGCTGGAAAGGTTACAAAAGTATCTCCAAAAGCCTTGATGTTCATGTGTCCACGGTAAGACAGACTGTCTACAAATGGAGAAAGTTTAGCACTGTTGCTACTCTCCCTAGGCGTGGTCGTCCTGTAAAAATGACTGCAAGAGCACAGCGCAGAATGCTGCATGAGGTAAAGAAGAATCCCAGAGTGTCAGCTAAAGACCTACAGAAATCTCTGGCACATGCTAACATTTTTGTTGACACATCTACAATAAGGAAAACATGAAACAAGAATGGAGTACATGGGAGGACACCACGGAGGAAGCCATTGCTGTCCAAAAAGAATATTGCAGCACGTTTGAAGTTTGCAAAAGAG